GGTATTAGTTTATAATTATTTAATGATTAGCAATGACTTTTCAAATAAGAATTAAAGAATATTGTGGTTAATTCATTTAAATTAAATATGCTGCCGGCCTTTCCATTTTGTTGTTAGAATCCGTGAAAGTGAGACGTTTGGAACTATATTTTGGAAATACGGTCTAATTTAAAGCTACTATAACAAAAGTATGTGTAAAAGAAAAGAATATTAATAAATAAATAAAGAAATGAATATAAATATTAGTATATAATGTATTAATTAATTAATTAAATTAGAAAAGTTTATAAACGAGTTGCATACTATACTTTTTAGGTGCAAAAGAAAAATGCGGGGCTTGAACTAAAAATTTACTCTTGAAAATTAACATAGCGCTTAGCGGCAATAAACCAATAAAACATCAAACGAAAAACCAATTGAAGGGATTAGAGCTGAAACCAAACAAATGCATTTTTAAGTCAAAAATTTTTAAGCGTGTTACCGGATAGTAGAAAATTTTGACATAAAAATGCACTTGGGTGGTTCAGCTTTTCCATTCAATTAATATAGAAATTAACGTTTAAGAAAAAAATCACACATAATTTTTTCCTGCTTTAGCGGAAGCTCTTTTCCAACATTCTTCTCTATTGACAATATAGCCAACACCACTAGTCGTTCTTGGTACATACCTTCTTGATCTTAAATATTTTTTTATTAATTTTAATTTTGAAAAACTCTTTTCCCGGCGTAATAATAATTGTTTTAAACGGATACAGGCAACTTCAAACACACATTTAGCAACATTGAACTGAATGATAATAGATGACGATACCTACTAAAGATATTATCTCTGGAAATGACCAAATATTATTTTGTCACGCTGTGCGTAATCGTATCAACTTATATAAAACTTATATTTTAAAATATAATATAATATATGGAAAATTGTAGTAAATTTTTCTACATACCTATATCGAATGAAATAATTATGTAACATATGGCGCCTCATATAGGTATTGGCGTTGAGAAACTATTTAATGATTTAATGATTTTGTATTTTTGTATTGAGATAATAAAACAAGAAGGGCACTTAATTTTAACGATTGTAAGACACTTGACAACTGTCAACTAACTTCAGCCCGTAACTAAAACGCCATAAAGCCACAACATGTCAAATTGACATTGTCAATGTGTATTTAAAAGGTCACTTAGTGTCATGGAAACATGTACGATAATGGACATTTTAAAGGTGGGAGTAGAAAAATAAATTTATAAACATTATATTTTAGGACCAATTGCCAACAATATTATATCACCTGTTGTGCGGAATTATTCGGTAAATAATAAAATAATTCAAATTAAAAAGTAAATTTTATTCTTTGTAACTTATTACCAAAATCCCGGGATTGAGAATTTTTATGCCGGGATATTTGGGATCGTTTTTTTTACGGATCTCGATACTTACTTAATTTTAAAAGTATTTTTTTCTTAAAATTTCCAAATTTTTAAGGATAATATCTGTACACTGATATCAAGAAAAAATTATAATTCAGTAAGAATATTCTACCGGGTTGCAAAAAAATAAATTCGGTGCTGTAATTAGCATAAATAGGTAACATTTTATTTGACAATCAATTTATAAAATTATAATTTTGTAATTTAACTTTATAGATCATTCATTATTTTGTAAATGGATATTTTCTATGGAATCCCTTTTGTAAAAAGGACCCAACCGACAGTATATTACGTTTATTTTCTTAATTCTATTCAACTGAATGTTTAATTTTATTTGTTTTTTTTCTGTAATAAAGGATATATTTTTTTAAATTAAAATAAGTTTTTGATTGCTCTGTATATTAAAAAAAACAGTTTTTTTCCCAATTTTTACTCTTTAACTTTAACATTACTTTAACAAATAAAAAAGAAAAAAAATAAAACCTTAGAGAAACTTTTTTTAGCTGAGAAAAGCAACAAATAAAGTATAAATAACACTTTTATTTATGCTATTTATTTCATTTACCGTCTCCTAAAATTTGCCGCCGGATACCTCTGCACCCCGTTACGTCCGGTGCTGCTTGGGGGCCCTTAATTAATTACGTAAGGGTATTGAGGGGAAGGGGGGGTTAAGAAAATCTCTACATGTCCTTATGTTGGGGGAGAGGGGGGTGAAAATACATTCTTACGTAATATTTCGTGAATCAAAATAAATTATAAATATTAAAAAACTAATTCCATTTTTGATTCCAAATAGTTTTCTTAATTTTAGAGAAATCCTACGTATACTTACATGGGGGTAGGAGGGTCAAAAGTCACCAAAATTGTCCTTACGTAATTAATGAATGGCCCCTTGTAAGACAGTGAATTTGTTGCCAAACAAAGTCCTTATTTTATGTACAAAAAATTAATATAAAATTTTATTATGAAGGGTGATCCCCTATAATGTCGCCCCCTTTAACTTTTTTATTGTCCCAAAAAATTTAAAAGTGTGGTTATGTAGGTACTAAAAATACTTTTTTTCTACTTATAAAGAAAATTGGAAAATTGTTCAGTATACAGGGAAAAACAAAAAGTTTATTTTTTTTTCAATGGATCACCCTATATATTAATTTATTTTCGATTCCTTGTAAAATTCTGAGCATAATTCATATAACAAACTGAAATTCAACCGTTTCTGAAATATTCGCATTTGAAATGTTATCATTAAATGTTTTTTTAAACCGTTAGAAAGCCTCAGTATACCAAATTGTTTATTGGAAATAAATTACTATAGTGACATTATGTCAATATGTCTTCTTAAATAAGTAAAAATGGCGTACTCAGACAGAGAAAGACAAACTATTTCAACATATTATCACCCATAATATAACAAGTGGTATGACTATCATCGATAATTAATTATACCACGAGTTATATTTAGAGAGAAAATATAATGAATTTTAGGATTTAACGAATTGTCAGTTTGACATTTGAAATTAAAATGTGCTTTAATAGTATATAGTATCAAGTTTGATAAACGCCATTTTATACACGAATTTAATTTAGGCACGAGCGAGCTTGCGAGCGAGTTCTTAAATTAATGAGTGTATAGAAAAGTTTATAAACGAGGTGCATACTATACTTTTTCTACGACAAATACTTATTATTATCTTAAAATGATTTAAATCAAAAATTTGTATAGAGCGCCATCTATGAAACAACAGGGGAAACTGTCAAATGTCACATTTTTACATTTTATAAACACAATTATAAAGGTTATAAATCGAAACGTAAATTGAAAAATGTTTTTCACAGTGAAAGTAAAGGAAATGTTTTATGAGGACTTTACAGTAGAGTCCGTGCCCGAATTTAAGTTATAGTTTACTGCCGGCGAAATTAAAAGGTCAGTACAATGTTCATATAAACTTTTCAAATATTGGCGTTGAGAAACTACCTATTTAATATTTTTGTATTTTTGTATTGAGATAATAAAATAATTTTCACATTTAGTATTATTTTACAAGAAAGGCACTTTATTTTAACGATTGTATGACCTTTGACAACTGTCAACTAACTTAAAACCAACTTCAAAGTTTGAATTTTAAACTAACCTTAATTTTATTATCGTTTACACCAACCCATCGATCTTTTATAATTCATTATTTTAATCATTTAACAAACACAGTATTTAAATGTCAACAAATGTCAAATCAAGAAAAGTGTCAAAATCCTTACCAACGTATAAACAAGGTGATAAAAAATATTGTCGCTGTGATAAAATGGAATACTGGCATTTTATTGGTTCTAATTATAATGAATTGTATTGTCTTAATAGTATATTATGTATCAAGTTTTATAAACGCCATTTTAGTTACGAGTTTAATTAAGCACGAGCAAAGCTTGCGAGCGAGTGTTTAATAAAAACGAGTGTCTAGAGAAGTTTATAAACGAGTTGCATACTATATTTTATCTATAAAGAACACAAAACAGAATTTAAACCCAATTTTATTTGTTAAAATTTTGACATCTGTCAACTGTCACTCGAATTTAACCTCACTTTTTTCCAATTTATAATAAAGCTAACTTCAGCCCGTGACTAAAATGCCCAAAAGCCACTGTTGCTAACTTCAGCCCGTGACTAAAACGCCATAAAGTCACAGCTTGTCAATGTAGGAGTAGATAAAAATAATTTAAATAATTCAGAAACGGTAGAATTTAGGTATATGGTATGCTATATGAAATATGATTAGAATTTTACAAGGAATCGAAAAATAAATACAAAATAAACTTTTTGTTTTTCCCTGTATATTGATCAATTTTCCAATTTTCTTTACTTATACGTATAAAAAAAGTATTTTTTAGTACCTACATAACCACATTTTTTGGGACACTTAAAATAAAAAAGTTAAAGGGACCGACATTATAGGGGATCACCCTGTACAGGGTGTCCCAAATTGGTTGTCCGTATAGGGTCATATCTATAACCTAAAAGAGCTAAAAAAAAATCTACACTAATGAATTCTATGATAAAAAGTGCCTACATAATATTTTAAACCTGTATTCGTAACTCAAATATTAACGAAGCTACAAGCATTTGTCAAAATTGGCAAAAATTGAAAAAATAGGTATATCTCCTAAACAAATGCGAATCGAGAAAATTCAAAGACATCAACCGATTTATCTTTAAAAAAGACGACGGGGATGCGTGGTCGAATTTTTTCTAGCATTTATATTTACTGAGATAGCCTATACGGACAACCAATTTGTGACACCCTGTACATTAGTATAATAATAATTAATGTCTATGAAGTTCTCGATTTTAATTATTATAATATTTGTTAAGACTTTCAATGGGGGTCGAACACCCAAAAAAAACCCTTGCGCGCGGGCCTGAGCTAAGTGGTTAACGTTCTGCAAGTAATTGTTGAAATTAAACGTGACAACGTCGAGTTGAGAGAGCTCGTGCGAGGATAGCAGTATCACTCTGTCTCTTTCTAATGATGCAGCTGTTTTCGTCGCTCACTGAGTTGGTAGGTTCGGCGGCAGCGCACACGACCAAACGAAAACGTGTGTTCCGCGACGATCCCATCGCATTGCTTGTGCTATGTCCTGTGAATTCTGCAGAGGAAGTAGTGGTTGTTTCGTTAGTGAAGGAGGGTGAAAATTCGCGTTGGGAACCGTCGTACGTCGTTGTAGACACACCCCGCGGCACGAATGTACTCTGGTGATGTGTTATCTGTGAAACAAGTGCATCATCAACGCGACACAGCATCCATCCGTCAATCGGTCGACGTAACTTTAGGTTACATTGAGGGTGCGGAAGCCGCCGCAGCCGCTTTTTCAGTGACAGTGACCGGGTATTTCATTAAGCGACTGGTGCATCTTCGTCGGACACCCCTTTATTCTCACCTGGAATTAATGGACACGGGTCGTCTGCGACCCGAATCGCCGGGTGACAAAAACTTTCAAGCTGGAACTAATGGAATTAGAAAATATTGTTGCAAACACTGTTTATTTAAAAGCGAGAGAGGGTAAGTACGCATCACCTACCTACTTCCACACTGACTTCTTAACCTTCACCTTACTACGTTCTTTCCGTCTTTCTTCCAGGTGGATCCGATAGTAATAAAGGCAAAAGCAAAAAGTGGCGGAAGATACTGCAGTTTCCGCACATTTCTCAGTGCATTGACTACGTTAATAAAGTAGGCAAGTATCCATCCATTCATAATAACAACTTTTACACACTATTTAACCTCACTAATTGAATTGAGGTTAGTTTTTGAAAAACAGTTGTTTGTTTACATTTTACTGATAATGCGTTGTTTTAAACATTTGCCAAGCATAAATAACGATTATTAAACAATAATACAATTTAATTTAATCACTCAATTCGCTAAACAAACACTTTTTTAATTAACCATAAGTAGGTAGGTACCTATTCTATTGTCTTTGGTAACGTGAATGAAATTCCTACATAACTACCTTTCTAAAACAATCCCATAATTAACTCTTCTTATAAATATTTAAATCTTCAATACCTTAATCATAAATTACATTCAATAAATATTATTAGCTATAAAATAATATTTTATTTTTTGTACTGTTTTTAATCAAATCTGCTAATGTCAATTTGTATGTAAATTATAGCTAAATCGATTATTTTATTATGCCAAGGGCTAAATTATGTGACGTATCCATAAAAATTGTGGCCCTTGTATGGGGGTCCAAAACCTAAACTAACATTTTTTGGCTTTAAAAACAAAATTTCTCATTAAAAAAATTTCGAAAAATTACATTTTATTAAGTATCTGAATATTTATTTGAAGATAATTAGCAATTTGCCAAAATGTACGAAAAACTATTTTTTTTTTGTAAAAAAATATATGCTTCTAATACCTAATTTTTTTGTTTTTGAGGGATGGTACAATTTATCGTTTGACCAGACCATCATGGTCCAGTCAAATTAGGCAAAAAATCGGCCTATCTTCGCAAAAAAACCTAGCGTACGTTTTCTCAGCCTCGAGAACTATTATTAGTCCTGCGTGAAATATGAATGGGATCATTTTTATGAAAATTTACACAAGAAACAATTTTTTTCTAACCAAAATTTACGTCAAATCAATGGTTGACGTGATAATCAAGTAAAACTGTTTTTCGTGTACTTTGTCCTATAGCTTCAAACCAATTAGGTACATAACTTGTAAGGGACAATTTTTTGTTTTTAAAATTTTCTTCTAGAACATACAGTTCATTTTTTTTTATCCGGACTCGTGTTTTTTTGTTAGGTTGGTGGCTTATGCCAGTTTGACTTAGTATTTTTTGTATTTAAAAATGGTATTTCTGCTAAAGAATTTAATTAAATACTTTGACACTGTTAAATTGACAATAATATTTATTATTGATAATTTACTTGTGAATTATAAATAAAAAGATAATTATGCCAAAAATAATAGCAACGAATTCGAATGTAAAGGCCCTTTTGATGGAAAAACTTTATTTTTATGAATGGAAGAAAAAGTACATCGCCTTATGGGCATTTTTGGAGTAAAAAAGTAACGAATTTGGTTTTATAAATATCACATCATACATTATTTTCACATTATTCACCATTGGACAACATTTACGTTCACAAAAAATTTTAATTTCTTTTATATAAATTCTTTTCAAAGCGAAGATTAATATCCGCTAGGAATACTCCTGGGCCGTAGTCACATATATTTAACTACTTTTGTATAGGATTTTACTCATCTACGCACCACCAAAGCCAAATTAATTGCATTTTTAACTACGAATTTTGACAACTCAGCTTGACAACCGTTCAATGTAACCTACAATAATTTAAACAAGCACAATTACATTATAATTACATTTATAACTAATTTAGTTTGTTTTAATCAATGCGACCAACTTGACAACTGTATTTACCAACCAAAACCCTAAATTTGCAACGTTGCCGCAGTCCAGATAAAAAAAATAACTTTACCTACTGTTTAAAAAAATTAAATAAAAAAAACAAAAATAATTGTTTTTACCTTAATTCGCATTTATTATAAAATGAAACGGAGTGGAAGAAATAACCTGGATTTATAGTTGGACGTAGTCGTAACGTAGACGCGATACGTAATTTATAAATCGACGGAACGGAATTTTTGGGCATGCGTAGTTGTGCGCTGGATAATCTACAAATTATACGTAATTTTTTTCGCACGAGGATAATTGTAATGGACGTAGACGTAACGTAGACGCGATACGTAATTTATAAATCGACGGAACGGAATTTTTGGGCATGCGTAGTTGTGCGCTGGATAATCTACAAATTATACATAATTTTTTTCGCACGAGGATAATTGTAATGGACGAGTGCGAGGAAACATCTTATAAGATTTAATGTCCAAAAAATGACAGTAAAAGCTCATTCACATCCACTTAATATGCGTAACTTAACTTAAGAAACATACGTCTGTTAAGTTGTCTGTTTACATTAACTTAATACACACAAAAAACGTAATATACAAGCACGCGCAAAGTAGACATCGATGTAGACTGGGTTGCCTATCTATCTATAAAAGTGAAACAACAAGATAGCGCTATATCGTTTTACTGGGCATGTGATTGGCCCTATCTATAAAACTAAAACAACAAGATAGCGCTATATCGTTTTACTGGGCATGTGATTGGCTCACGTAAGAAACGTATTCCCTTAAGTTGAGCCGATCCCAACTTTTGGATACGTTAAGTTACGTGTGATAAGTTTTCTACGAATGTAAACAGCTGCATTGGTTTCAATGTATTTCAACTTACGTCTCTCAAGTACGTTAAGTTAAGTTACGCGTATTAAGTGGATGTGAATGAGCTTTAAGACCGCAGTGCACACATAATTATCTCTTTTGATTGGCCGGACGCAAGAAACGGAACGGAAAAGATAAAAGTTGACCAACTCTTCCGTTCTGTTTCCGTTAAGTCTGCGTTTACGTTTATTTATAAATAAGAGTACATAAATTCTATATTTGATCTTTCTGCAGTGCGTCTGTTACGTCTACGTCTAACTATAAATCCAGCTTTAAGCTTCAATACGTAAATAATCCAACAACAACAAAAGTTTGTCAACATCAAAATTTAACCTTAACACCAAATTTAAGACAATCTTATTGTTATTTTTAAGATCTTGAGATTAAAATATGCAAAACACAATTAATTAAAAATAAAACAAGTAAAGCTGGATTTATAAACTACTTGAACACGTGTTCATTGTGAATTTAAATCGGTTGTAAGCACAGACACTGTGGTTGTAAGTGTCGCTGTATATTTTTAAAATACTGTTATTTCTTACCTTGTCAAATTAAAAAACAAAAAACTTATTTATTTATTTTTGCGGAAGACTACTTTTATGTTTATTTAAAAAAAAATAATATACCTATTATACAATTACTTGTTTTTGGCTTAATATACTTGATTTATTATATAAATAAGTAATTAGAGCAGATAACGCCGTCGTAAAAGATTATTTAAACAATGCAGTGGAATCATGATTATACAAATTTAATTATTTTATTATTGACATTATTTGTTTTTTTCATAAATAATGGTAACCAAATAACCGCCCCGACTAACAACGGGAATAATGAACTCATTATTTACGTTGTTAGACATCAGTGATAGGCTGATTTTAATATTCACTGTTATTTAAACAAATCGTGTTTTAAATTGGGAAAAAGTAAGGTTAACAGATGTCCAATTTTTTATATATATGAGGGGCGACTGTAATGATTTTTAAAATCGTGAGAAAATTACCTAATTACACTAGAAAATAAGCGCATTATACACTCGGATGATTTACGTCTCTTGTCTGACGGCTCGAGACGCAAACCTCATCCTTGTGAATAATTATTAAGTGTTTTTTTAATTAATAAACCATTTTTTAAAATGGCATTTATTAATATTAATAAATATTAAAAATAAATGTTAAAAAAGCACATACCTAGCACGAAAAATATGTAAACATTTTTTGTATTTGCAAGGTCAACTAACTAAAGGTTAAATATTTCTATTTTCGGGTAAAATTTTAAATGAAACAGTGTACGTATATGCATATGCAATTTTCTAACAAGTCAAATTAAAATAAATATTTGCTTAATGTTTTTGTTTTGAAACCAATTTATTTTGCGAGATTTTTATCAGTCATAAGTAGAGATGGGATTTTAGTGTTATTAACTATTTGTCTGCGCTAATTATAACTTTAGCACCAATGGAACAAAATCCGCTTTGAAGAAAATAATTTCATTTATTTTACTCAAATTTTAATTTTTAAGAAAAATGGACCAAATTTTCACACTTTAACATCAAAATCATGCCTTTTTTTGTAATATTGGGGTTGTTATTGGATGCATTATGTAGTTATTTCTGTTGTACTGGATTGGTAATGTGGGTTGGTTGGTAGTGGTAGGTCCGGGAATCGCGAAGAGCGATGCGAATTTGACATTCCTGTGCAATGTTGACAGGTCTCATGGTTTTGCGTGAGGTCCAAAGTTTTTCCAAACAATCTCATGTTATTATGTTTTATTTAAAAATCTCATGCGATAACACAAATTCTAGAAAATTTGTGCTTTTTCATTAGAAAGTATTTTTTTAAACATTTCTATCGTAATGAATTTTTCTGGGGATTTTTTAATGCCAGCAATTGTATGCTTATTTACAAAAATATCTGAAATGTGCCGTCGCTTTAAAAAATTATAAAATGTATAATGGTATTATAGTATTTTTACAAGATTTGCATTTTCGTCAGGTATTTCCAAACTTTTCAAATCATAAATATATTGTATAATAAAATTGTTTACAATAATACATTAAATAGTTTTACCACCTTAAAGTTGCTTTCCAGTAATTATTTTCGTAAAGTACGTACCTACTTAAGGATTAGACATAAAATAAGAAACCTATTTAGGTACCTATTTTTATAAATTTTTTTACCTAAAATCCCATCTCTAGTCATTAGGTCTACAACGCAGCTGTATGCAAATAAATGTCTTAATTCATTCTTATTTTTTTAACTTAAATTTTGCCTTGCCTACACATGAACATTCTAAAAATAACAATAATTTCGTGTGATGTGTTCAAAATTTTTCAATCTACATGAAATACATGCGAAGCACAAATAAATTTTATTTATTTTTTCGGCATCAAAATAAATCTAAACGCTATTTTTAGTT